AAGAAGTTCGGATGTCGACGGACTTGGCGGTATTCCTGGCAGCTCATCAACAGTTATCCTTTCTTACCAGTAGTTGAAGTTCGGATGCCAGCGAACTTTGTGTTTCCACACAACCACCGCTGCAAATAGGGTCTTCCTGGTCCAACACGGGAGGGAGGACAAAAGAAGTTCGCCAGCATCCGAACTTCACATTTTGTCTGAAGGAGCTGACTGAAGAAGTCCGCCTGCATCCGAACTTCAAAGACTAGCCTACTCTGTATCCAAACTATGCATTCCGGCTGTGGTGGTTAACTGAAGAAGTCCGCCCGCATTCGAAATTCAAGGATTGGCCTACTCTGCTGCTAAACAGTTGTAGTTCGCCGACATCTGAACTTCACATATCCACCACCATTGGCAACGGAAGAAGTTCGAATGCGGGCGAACTTTGTTTTCCGCACAACCTCCACTGCAACTAGGGTTTTCCTGGTAGAACGGGAGGGGAGGACAAAAGAAGCCTGCCGACATCTGAACTTCATGTCTTGTCTACGGGGGCTGACTGAAGAAGTCCGCCCGCATCTGAACTTCAAAGACTGACCTACTCTGCATCCTAACTTCGTGTTCCAACTGTGGGGGCTGACTGAAGAAGTCCGTCCCCATCTGAACTTCAATGATTGGCGTACTCTACTGCTAAACAGTTGTCATTCGCCGTTATCCGAACTTGAATGTTGTCTAAACATTGCAACTGGAAAGGCAAGGGTCCAACCTAATAGTTTGGATGCCGGGGGACTTCCACAATAGCCACAGATCGATAATACGTGAGGCTGTGATGCAAAAGAACATCACCTCCACAGCCATCCAATTCGTCGAGTTAGCCTGCATCCTTGGCTATCCAGTTGCAATGTTAAGACAACGATTCAAGTTCGGATACCGGCAAATGACAACTGTTTAGCAACATAGTAGGCCAATCATTGAAATTCGGATGTGGGCGGACTTCTCCAGTTAGCCCTCACACCCGGAACGCGAAGTTTGGATGCAAAGTAGGCCAATCATTGAAGTTCGGATGCGGGCAGACTTCTTCGGTCAGCCCCAGCAGACAAAACGTGAAATTCGGATGTTGGCGAGCTTTTTTTGTTCTCCCCTCCCGCGCTGGACCAGGAAGACCCTATTTGCAGCGGTGGTTGTGTGGAAACACGAAGTTCGCTGACATCCGAACTTCAAGTACTGGTGAGAAAGGATAATTGTCGACGAGCCACCAGGAATACCGCCAAGTCTGTCGGCATCCGAACTTCTTCCGTTGCCAAAGCTGGTGAATATGTGAAGTTCGGACCACGGCGGTGTACTGCTTGGCCGGTGTACTCTGACGACGACGGACTTCAACTTCGGTTCCATTGTCGGGGTGGCGCGAGCTTCGAACAACGCCACCCTGCGATTCCCGTTCTACATGCCCACAATCTAAATCCGCCAGAATCTGGACTTCACAAATTCTTATCTCACCAATGGAGCGGACGCTGGGGTGCCGAATAGCTTCAGTCCCACTGTGCTTGTTACCCGACCACCTACAAGAAGTGTCAAACAGTAGGTGGTTGTCTTTGCGGATTGCCAAAAACACTCTTAGGGGACCTTGGTGATCATTTGTTCAAGCAGTCATTTGTGATGCTCAAACGCAACAGGGGCAAGTTTGGTGGGCCTTCTTGTTGAATCTGGATCTGTTTTGAGCAGACTTTCGCACTCGACTCTTCTCCAGTTACCGCAGGTTATCTGTTGTTCGGGCAGTCGTTCACGATGCTCGAACACAACTGGGGCGAGTTTGGTAGACCTTCTTGTTGGATCTGGATTTGTTTTGAGCAGAGTTTCGCACTCCACAAACAAAATTCCCCTCCAGTTCCCGCAGGTTTTCAGTTGTTCGGGCAGTCGTTCCCGATGCTCAAATGCGACAAGGGCGAGTTTGGTGGGTCTTCTTGTTGGATCTGGATATCTTTTGAGCAGAGTTTCGCACTTCATAAACAGAATTCCCCTCCGGTTCCCGTTGGTTATCAGTTGTTCGGGCAGTCGTTCTCGATACTCAAAAGCAACTGGGGCGAGTTTGGTAGGCCTTCTTGTTGGATTTTGATCTGTTTTGAGTAGAGTTTCGCACTCCACAAACAAAATTCCCCTACAGTTGCCACAGGTTATCAGTTGTTCGGGCAGTCGTTCGCGATGCTTAAACTGAACTGGGGCGAGTTTGGTGGGCCTTCTTGTTGGGTCTGTGCGTGTGAACGACAGAGTCTAGAGGTCAACAAACCGGCTCACAGTCCGTGACATCGCACGCCGTTACCAATCTGGGTGATTACCCGGCGAATTCGTTAAGTTCGCCGGTATCCGAACTTCGCACGAAACGTGAAGACGGATGTGAAGAAGTGCGGATACCAGCGAACTTTTCAACTGTTCGTGCAGTCTTTCATCATGTTTATATAGTAGTGGGGGACTGTGGGGTGACTTCGGTGAGCCTTCTTGTCGGGTCCGGAGGGTATGAACGACAGAGTCTCGCAGTCGCCAAACCGACTCACACTCCGTTACATCGCACGCCGTTGTCAGTCTGCGTGATTGCCCGGCGAATTCGTCAAGTTCGTGGGTATCCGAACTTCGCACAAAGCATGAAGAGGATGTGAACAAGTCTGGATGCCAGCGAACTTGTTGACTGTTCATGCAGTCTACCGTCATGTTCGAACGTTACTGAAGCAAGTTTGATGTGCCTTCTTGTTGGGTCTGAGCGTGTGAACGGCCGAGTCTAGCAGTCGGCAAGCTGGCTCGCGCTCTGTGACATCGCACACCGTTATCAGTCTGCAAGAGTGCCCTGCGAATCCGTAAAGTCCACCGGTATCCGAACTCCGCACGGAGCGTGAAGATGGATGTGAAGACCTATGTGCATTCAAACTTGAATAATTATGAAACCTTATGCGCATTTGACGACTTTGATGTTCTTTTGGTGGTGTGTAACATGTGGTCCTCCGTGTGTTGGATTGTTTCGGTCTCTTGGACCAGTGCAGACACAATGTCCACATCAAGGGGTGAGGAGCGGTCGACCGGAATGTCGGGGAGGGAATCACGGATCTCCAAATTGTGGTCCTATCAAGTGCATACCAAATGGTTCGTCGATTGGTGCTACGGGGATGAATCCGAGCCGACCAAACCCTAGTGCGGTCCTGTTATATTCCTCAAAGACAAAAAAAAGGCGTAGAGTGTTTGGGTCGGTTGCCAGATGACACTCCGCGAAAAAGGAAAACACGCAACGTTATAGGCTGCACACTGTTTACAGTTTGAAGGGCGACGTTGTTGCCAATTCCAAAGGGGCGGTTTTGTCTTTCGACCTGTTCCAGGGGTTTGGTGTGGGGGCTGTGAAGACCCCTTTCTACCAAGATCTCGCAGTGGGAGGTGTTGTTTTGGCGCGTGAATTTTTGGACTTGGTGGAGCAGAGGAACATCGGCCTGGAGGAACCCTGCCACGTTCTATGTGACCAAGAGTTGTCACAGGCTCATCATATGTACCGGGTTTGAATCCAACAGTGCTCCCACGGAAGGGGGAGATTTGGGTTTCGGTCCTTCTTCCCGACTCCACAGGGGCGAGGCCCGTTGTCGCTTCGACGACAGCGACGACGAAGAATAGGAGCAGACGCGGGCTTCGCCGCTTAGGTGGAGAGACCGGTCTATCCTCAATATTCCTGGGGTGGAAGGATACACCTCGGTTCACGACCGGCCATCAACGTCAACAGGGGGGCGAGAGGGGTGTACATCAGCCTCCGCATAAGAGAAGGGGAGGTCCTCAGGAAAAGGGTGCAGCTTCTGCAAAGAAACATAAGGCAAGGACCCCCCAGACGACGGGGGAAAAAAGGAAGGGAGTTAAGGGGCAACAGGGCACATGGGTCGGAAACGCCCGATGTGGGCGTCGAAACAGCCCCAGTCGGGTGTTGTCGAGGCGAAGGGTCCCATCGACATCGACGCCTCATACTTCCTAGAATGGAAAGACGGTGTGCGAACAAACGATAGTTCTTCATTAGCCCATCGCGGGTCGTCGACATCTGTGAGTGGGAAGCCTTGTACAACCATCGGTTGCTGGATCTCGTGCACATGCAGCTCATCATTGACATGATGAGGATGACCTTCTCGCAAGCCGAGAAGACGTGCGAGTTGCCTACCCTTAAGATGGCGCCACTCGGGCTGGAGAAACCGAAGTCAGACGTACTAGCGGATCGTCTGAAGCCAGAGAACTGGAAGGACGAGCTAGCAGGCCAATACTATTATTACACTATTTCCTGTCAGCACAACGCGGCTGCAGCCAAGGCGCTGCTCGACAAAGATGTCACGATGAGGTACAACTTCGAGAGGTGGCTTGCATATACGGTTTACTTCTCGGATGAGAAGTTCGAAGGGTATTTTCTGGTCAGCTCGGAGGACAACAAGAAGGACTTGAAGGCACCTCCAAGACAGCTAAAACTGTCAATGAAGGGCATTCGGTGGTTGTGAAAAGAAAAGGGTTTCCCGAAAGCTGTTATGGGGAACCCGAGCGGGAAACAAGCTCAGGTGCAGAAATGGCGTGAGTTCTGTGCGCAAGCGCTTCACAAGACGCCTTAGAACCACTTGTGAATTCTAGCTGATGAGAAGGGCGAGGACAATATTAAGAAGCAGAACGTTGGTGATGGCCGAAAAAAGCGTGTGGGAACTAGGTATGGAATTCTTTTAGAAATGGGAGACGGGGAGACTTCCGACACCCGAGGGGGCGAAGTGGATCACAAAGAGAAAGAAAGCGAAGGACTTACGACTCGGCGTCATCCACATCGAAAATGAGAAGTTGGGGTGAAAGGAGGTCGTCTACGACGTCCCCGTCGAGGCGCTCCAAAAGAAAGGCAACAAGGAGAAAGAGTCTGGCGTTTTGTTCATCCAAGTCACCGAGCGGGATCCGCACTATTGGAAGAGCATGGAAGCTCTTACCAACAACGAGAAATGTCGGTTGCTCAAGAAGGTTCTCAATTGCGAGGTAGTGTGGGTGCAGACAGGCTCCCCTTCATTGGCGAAGCAAGGGAAGATGGGAGTGCAAGAAGCAGTGCACCTGCTGAAATGAGATCGCATGTTGGTGCGATTATGGAACTACTACCAGTTCATGCACGAGAACCGGCCGGATACGGACTGGACACGTGTGTATCCAATCCTGAAGAAACGGGAGGCGATTTTGGTGAAGTTCGAGAAGCAGGGAATGGATGCCTCGTTGTGGGACGGGAGCAGGAAGCTCGCCGGTAATGCCTCGCTGTACAAGGATTACCCGCCGTACATGGGGTGCGAGGACGACAAGGATTGCTCGCCGCTCAACAAGAAGTTCCCCGCCGACTGGAAGAACAAGGTTCACTCCGTGTTGACCGGCAGTAGGGCGAAGAGTATGGAGGTCGGGCTTGCCAAAGGCACGATGGACGTTCTGTGGAAAGACTACGGGGACGTGACATCCATCGTCCCGTTCGACGTTGATCCTCTGGATGCGCAGATGAGGGTCACGGAGTTGGAGAAAGCGGTTGGGACCACCAAATACCACACATGTGTTCTCGATCTATGCGAGCCGGTGGACTTCAAACAGTGGACACCGAAAACTTTGAGAGTTTGAATTCCCTCGTAGAGCAATTGTTTCCATCACACTGGACAGTTGTCGCTTTCGTCCGTGACTAGTCCGCGCCATCTGCCCGTTGTCAAGGCAATGGCAGGGAAGTGGGTCAGGAGAACGCAGCAGAAGAAAAGTTTTCCAGTGGGGAACAACTTGTACTCGGCTGAGGACCGCATGTACATTATCTTCAAAGGTGACGATTTGCGGGAGAATACTAGGTTGTCGGCAGGTGACGCTGCGACTTTCAGGGCACATCAGAAATTGACCCCGACATACATATCGGAGATTCCATTTGACCCTTGCGAGTGGCCGTCGGCCATGCCTGGAGTTGATAGAGAGGTTTATAAGGAAATGGAGCGGAACCTCACACAATTGGCCCACCTGCTGGAATTTGTATGCAAAAAGGGGAAGGGCATCATGTTCCTTGACAAGCCGCACAAGCGAGTCGTGTGGGAGGTTTTGAAGAGCGGCCGATACGTGGCCGCGCTGGAAGGGAATTCTGAGTTCTTGCAATACACGTTGGAGTTCCTTAAACGCGAGGTCGACTCTGGAGCCAACCGTTGCGAGTTCATTTCGAGAACCGAGATACCGACACTCGTTAGGGAACCGTCTACGAACATGTGGTTCAAGTTGAGCGAGCGGAAGAGGAGCAGGATCTACGAGTTCCTCTTTTTGGAAACGAGGCCCAGGAGGGACAACGACGCTGAGTACATGCGTCGCAAGGAACACATGTTAGCGTTGTTGGACAACTACCACGACGCCTCATGCAAGAACGCAAAGAACTTCCTTGACCGACTAGAGTGTTTGTACTTCGTCGAGTCCGAGCACGTGCTGAAGCTCGAGAGTTATGGTGCCTTGATCTCCACGAACGACGAGGTAAAGACAGGCGTTGTTTTCGACACTGCTATGCCGGAGGAGGACAACGACACCGAGGACATCGACATCGATTACCATCCTGCTCTGGTGTTTCATGCCCCAGGCTCCTCGTCGGTCGGTCCCTCAACAAGCCAGGCCACCCAGGTGTCACTTGTGCTCACGCTCACCCCGGGTAAGACCCCGAGTAAGTTGGCGGCGAGACTGACGCTTCGGCCTGCTGCCCCGCCTCCGTTGCATCCCGGGAGTTCGGTTCCGCTGCGTCATCCTTCTTGCAAGGATGATACCATTAACTTCGAAGGGCTCAACCACACTCGATCGAGCGAGGCGGACTGGGGCCATGACATGATTTGGCACCCGGGAACTATCCAGTCGGCAATCCAAAAGGGCGAGTGGATCATGGCCCTCATCAACGACCAAGGGTTGTGGGAGCCATACCCGCGCCAGTCCAAGGCCGAGTACCTGGAACTCGCGAGGAGTTCTGTGGTCGAGAGAGTGAGGTCTGCAAGTCCCAACCTTCAACCCGCCGACCCAGCCATCGATTCCACTGTTGAACTTTTGTTTGAAGAACTTCAGGACAAGCAGTGCTTGGAACTCTTGGACGAATTCTACAACCTCGACACGAGCCCTTCAAAGGGATGGGTGGACCGGAAGGTCCTCCCTACGACCGGGCCACAGGGTAGTTGGGGGGGCKGTCTCTTATACACATCTAGATGTGTATAAGAGACAGGCACAGGGCGGGGGGGCGGAGGAAATGGTGAGGGGACAGTAGAGGGAACCACTGGTAGGGGACAGGTTTCGCCTCACCAGGAAGCCACGACAACGGAACACGGTGGCGGGGAGGGGGGGGGGGACCCTTGTTGGATAGGCGACTGCAAGGTCCGGTAACGAACATGCGACAAAATCTGCCAACATCCGAACTACGTCGCCCAAGGCCCTGGGAGTGAGTGGACCGCCAACTGACCTAGATACGTCAAAGTCCGCCGGGATCCGGACTTCTTCACAAAGGGGTCCACAAACAAGTGTTGTCGTGTCGCCGGGAGAGGCTACTCGTGTGGGGACGGAAGAGCACTCCACGGGATTTGACAAGGCTTAGAGAGAAGGGAGGGATGGAGGGGAAGAAGGGGAAGAGGGGAAAGAAGAGGAGGGAAAAGAAAATGAGTTGTTTCTATTTCGTGGAGGAGAAGAGGGTGAACAAGGGGATTTCAATATTGAAGATGAGGAACGGGTGGACAGTGAGGACGATGCTGGCTGTGAAGAGTCGTCTGACTCGTTAGGGCTGCAGTACACAGAGCATCGCAGGCGTGATGTCGACAACGATGCAACGGCAATGGAGATGGAGACGCAGGTGGTCAGTGACCTTTCAGCAGACCCTGAAGATTATGAGGTTCAACCGCTGACGGCTGCAATCGATCTTCAACACCTGTGCGACGAGGTTTCCATTGTTGTGAGCCCGAAGGAACAAAGTCAACATATAAGCATCGTTGAAGTTATCGATGGCATACTCAGCGACGAGCGGGTGTCCGCAGAACGGTGTGCAGCGCCTATCGTGGACGGCCCCCGCATCGTCACACCTTCTGTGCCCTCTGCCACCATTTTCTCACCACCCAGCTCTCCGGTACTGCCCGCCACCTTCGTCAGCGGCTCGAAAGGCGAAGTCGGGGGCAGGTAACATGTCACGTCCCCGAAAAAATATAGGGTCGGCACTCAAGCTCTCGACGTGCTGGTGTTACCCGTGCCAATGTCACCGACGAAGGAGCAAAGGGATAAAACGACTGGTAAGCAGTGATGAACGCCACGACGTACACACTCCTCGACTAAGAACCTGGCCAACACAATGGAATGACGTTTTTTTCTTCTTGGAGAGGGTAATGGTTTAAGTCTGCCGGGATCCGCACTTCCTATGTCAATGCGTAATGTGATTAGTCTTTGTGTGCCTGTTGTGGAAAAAGTTCGTCAGAATCCGAATTACGGTTTTTTCTTCTTGGAGAGAGTGGTGGTTTTAGCTCGTCGGGATCCGTGCATCTTATGTCAATGCATAATGTGGTTAGTCTTTGTGTGCCTGTTGTGGGAAAAAGTCCCTCAAAATTCGAACTTCGGGGAATGGTGACCTTCCTCTTTTGTGACTTGTTGTTATTTTCCTTTGTAAAGGTCGGGGTTGTTAAGCTAGAATGCGCTCGTCATTCTGTTGTCCAACCACACACATGCAGCTCCGTGCTCATGGCCATGCAAAATCGCAGTTCTATAATTGGAGAGGTCCTGCGTCTTGTAGATTATATGGTTCTTTTACATTGTCACTTTCTTCGGACTCGTGTTGGGAAACCTGTATTCATTTTCCGTTTTGTCTTTCTTCTGTTGTACAGGGGTAAGGTCATCTCGAACACGGAGGTCCTCGGAATTTATGAAGCACATATTGTAGAAAGTCCTCGGGTTGACGACAAAACACAAGGATATGTTAACGGCATCAGGGGTTGATGTCGAGATCGGGAAGAAGGAGCATGCCATTGCCATTGAGGAGTGTCTTTCCCTTCTTCCCCCAGAGAAAGGGACATATCCACGATCTGTGAGTAGGGATCACACTCCGTTTCTCACTACCCTGCGTGTCCTTTGCTCGATGTTGTGCAGTGCGGTTCACAACACACGGAATACGCCAGGGAAAATTCGCTGCAACGACTACGCCTCGAAGCTTGCGGGTTTTGGACGATATTAAACGAGGCTCGATGCCACCTCGCACTTTTCTCTTTACCCTTGCCGACGGTCAGTTGCGAATTGCAGCAAAAAATTTTATCACCCTCTTGCATATCAAGGACAGGGTGAATGATAAGGTAGTCAATTTTTACATGGCGCTATTGGGGTCGACCGCATGTGCGACATGTGACATCCCGTCAGACCTTCAAGTCTTCAACTTTAATTCGTTCTTCTTCAGTAAACTGCAACTTCAATGAGACAATGATGTGGAAAGATGGGCTAAAATCGTAGATCTGCTTCAATATTATATTATCTTTGTTACTGTCTACAAAGATAATGATCACTAGATCCTCCTTTCCGTCAACTTGAGAGATAATGTCCTCTAAATTTTTGATTATTTTCCTTACGTTATAGCTTATTAGAGTTTTTACCTTAGGGTTTTCAAGTTGATTGTAAAGTATTTGGAACGTCAAACATTACATAGGCGGTCGGGTAGGAGTTGGAAGTCGACCGCAACAAATGTTGTGGTGGAAGGAGTTCCAAGACAAGTGGATGGAGCTAGTTGTGGGGTGTTAATGTTGATGTTTGTGACACTATTGCAACGTGGTGATCGAACACCTTTCAAGTTCTTTTGTGAAGATATCCCGCTTATTAGATGACAATTGACATCATGCATCTTAGAACGCCGTTGTCTTTGATGAATTCGATTGTTTTAGAAACTTTCTTTTGAAAATATTTCATTCATTAATGATTATATTTTTTAAACCCTGATATTACTCAATTGTCGCTTTCACAACGACATTACTTCCTTTTATCATTGCAAGTTTAAGTTGTCTTCGGCATGCTCACTTCCAGTCTGACATCACGTATTGACTTTGGAATCTTTGTCACGTCCCAGTCATTTCTAATGCTTTGCGTTCTTGGTTTCAAATTGTGTTTAGATTAACCAAAACTGTACAAAAGATTCACATCAAATAATATCAGTAATTGTAATGCGACATGATAAATTGGTGTGTAGATGCAAGACAAATGCCGACGAGTGTGTGAGTATGTGATTCATTATGCAAAGACCACTAACATCACGTCATTTGCGTGCGCATAGAATCACATGTCTTATGACCTCCTGCATTATATGTAACCAACAACTTTGCGTTTGTGCCCAAACCTTTTGTGCATGGCCAATTAAAGTGCGGATTCGATTAAAAACGTGCAAAATTTGAAGTTCTTGTGTAATACGATAGCCTAATCAAATGTATTATCCAGCAGAGATTCAATAATGACACCTTGCTCATCACATTTATAAACTTTAAGTTCAACAAGTATGCATCCCAACGGACTTTCATTGAGGGTTCCCCGATGGATGTGTCGATCGTCACACTAAGTTTTCTAAAGAAGACTTAGTCCGGATCTCATCGAAAATCCAAACAACCGTCTTAGGCGAGAGGATCAGCATGCTTGTACAAATTAGTCCTCACCTAAAGAATTATATTATCCAACGAGGATTCAACTATGACACCTTGCTCATCTCGTTTATGAAGTTTAACAAGTATGGATCTTAGCACGCTTTCGCATGGGCATGCCGACGTTGCTTAGGTTGCGACCAAAAATGAATTCGTTAGAAAGAGGACCCAATATAATGTCATATTTTAACGAATACCATGTTATAGGCTTGATTGGCCCAGTTGATTGTTGCAGTGGCTGCATAACCACTGAGACGGGTTGTTGCACACTAACGTGAGTCTACCCTGACGATGGGGCTGTAACTGCCACTATCCTCGATGGTACGGGAGAAGTACTGAGAATCAGACCACTAACTGCTACTAAACCACCTGAAGGAGGCATGGCAAACATAGAAGAGAAGGAGGGCCCTACTGGCGACTACGTCACTTAGGGATCCGCAACCGAAGGGGGAACTATAAAATACTAAGGTTGCCTTATTACTGGGCGAGGAGCCTGCAGTGTAGCCAGAATCCGGTTCTGGTGAGCCACTAATTCAACCAACACTTCCTGCTGAACGACCTACGTTTCTACCACGCAAAGTGGTGAGCGACGCAACGCTTGAGTTCAAGGATCCAATGTTGACTCATCCAGTGCTTCTAACTTTCCTAACTCTTGCCTCCTAACTCCTGGTCTAGCGTTTCTTGTTATCGCTCTCTGTCTTCTCTGTACTGCATCTCTAAATTGCAATTCCTCATGAAGGGTTTCCCTTTGGAGGATCTCATAATCCTCTGGTGTGAGAGGAGTCTGCGGGCTGACCTGCGACCCAACACCCTGACTAATGGAACCCTGAGTAACCCCCTGACTACCTTCTACCGAAGAGGTCTGGGACAAGGTCTGTGACACGCTAGAGGTAGTAGCCAGTGCGTCCTCGATGTTGGTTGCTGCTTCCCTAGACCTGCTTAATGCCACCCTCTCCCTAGCTTCCCTCCCCAACCTCCTTTCCTCTCCTGGACCTACCTCCTGGAAAATGATCAGTCGACTAAGAGTTGTTCTACGAGAACCTCTGAGAGGTTTCACTGATCGTTCCTCCTCACTACTGCTTGCTTCACTCATGAGCTACAGTTGTGTGTGGCCACAACTAGAATCCACACTAAATCCTACCTCACCATAACACCCAACCCAGTATTACATTCTACTTCGTTTCGGTTAGCCTGGAGAGAAGTAGTCAAGTGGTAAACAACAACTAGCATCAGATCCTACAGGTTTCTATTTTTGGATTACTCTAACACATAATGCAATGCATCAAAGAATGATCTATCCTATCTGCAACTGCTTATCAGTTGTCACCAAGTCCGTACAACTAAATAATCCAAAATAAAAAAGTTCACCTTTGGAGATGTATGATGGACAACAGTTTATCTAATTAACAACACAGCGATCAGTTACCAGAATCCTCTCTCTCCATATATCTCTCTTAAGAAGTCTCTTTGTGTCTATGTCCCTAGCATCTAGTTGAGCAGCGTGTCTTAACATGTGAGTCCCGCCCACCCCTCTGCCCCAAGTCTATGCTAAGCCTACCAGCCCCTGCACCTTGTTTAACCTCGCGTGCAAGGAGCCTTACTCCCGATTTGATCTGCCTGATGTAGAGGCATTTTAAGGACAACCGCCAAGGTCCTAAGAAATTATTTAACGTCGCAGACGGGACGACAATCTTAGCCGGGGTTCAACCGCAACCTGCCAAAAATGTTTATAGACGGTCTGGTGAGCATCTCTTAAAGGGTTGGCATGCCCAACGTGACCTCTATTGCACAACAGCAGAACCAAGGACTTGCGACAAAGCATGAGGGTACTAGTCCCCGAGGGTTGGCATGGTGACCGCGACTCGAGTGCTTCGTCAAGGGCCCTTTAGAGGCTTCGCCAACTGTGTGTCCGATTTTCAATTCAATAAGGGTTTCGCGGTTTGTTAAGTGTCCAACGTGCGTAAGCAAGCGCACGAGCGCGCGCGCGCGCGCGCGCGCGAGAGAGAGAGAGAGAGAGAGAGAGAGAGAGAGAGAGAGAGAGAGAGAGAGAGAGAGAGAGAGAGA